ATAGGGAAACTTCTGTTCTGGAACTAATAAATCTCATCTGAAAGGAAGAACTGATTACAAGAGTATATGGGAACCTTGGAGAGTAGAGGTCAGCTCATTTCAGAACTTGTGAGAGAAGAAAGGGAAAGCAGTCATAGTCTGACATGGAACTGCAATTTCAGGAGAACAGACTTCCAAAAGTTCAGGAACAATAAGGAAGGAGTTCGCAGCCTAAAATTCTACAAGGGAAATAAACCCAAGAGGGATGGAAAGCACTAAACAGGCTAATGGGAAAAACAATGTGCAAATAAACGGCTATAGAAAGAAGATGTAGACAAGGTAAATCAGGGCAGTTTCAGAGGGAAGACATAAAAAACTCAACTTTTTAATGGATGCTGTGTATTGTTTTACTTGTTTTATGTGTTAAGTATGATCACAATTCTTAAAGTTACTGACAGGCTAGTAAGTTGAGCCAAGTCTAGTCATTCAAAATTTGAAAGAAGTAAACGTTGAGTCTTAATTTGGGTTCAAAAAGTCAACTTAACAAGTACAAGATTGGGGTAGTGAGGAATGTCTTTATAGAATCATAGATTTAGAACCGGAAGAGATGTTAGAGACCATCCATATGACAGTTAACCTGAAAAAAAAATCTGGGAGTTTTAGTGAACTGGAAGATCCATGAGTCTATAGTGCAATGCTGCGGCCAAAAAAGCTAAGACATGGATTATATTGAGAAGAATTGTGTCTAGAGCAAAAGTAATGTTCATCCCACTGTATTCTGCCCTTTTCAGACCATATCAAGAGGATTGTGTTCAGTTCTGTGTGCTACATTTTAGGAAGGAATGTCCCAAGGAAAGATTTTTGTTGTTGTTGGGTCATTTTTCAGTCATGTCCAATTCTTCATGACCCCATTTGGGATTTTTTTTTTGCAAAGATGTTGGAGCAGTTTACCATTTCGTTCTCCAGCTAATTTTACAGATGAGAAAACTGTGCAAACAGGGTTAAGCGACTTGCCCAGGGTCACACAGCTAGTAAGTGTCTGAGGCCAGATTTGAACTTAGGAAGATGAGTCTTCCTGACTCCAGGCCTGGCGTTCTATCCACTGTACCACCTAGCTGCCCCTGAGTAAGAACACCTGGATTCAAATTATTTACTCACGGGGCAGCTAGGTGGCACAGTGGATAGAGCACCTATCCCAAAGTCAGGAGGACCTGAGTTCAAATCCAGCCTCAGACCAAACACTTGACACTTACTAGCTGTGTGACTCTGGGCAAGTCACTTAACCCCAATTGCCTTAAAAAAAAAAAGAAAAAAACAAATTATTTACTCACTACTTGTGTGACTTTAAATAAGTTGCACCTCATCTCCAGGCCTCAGTTTCCTCCTTTTTAATATAAAGAAATTGCTCTGTATTAATAACTCACAATCTAGAGGCTGTAGAATTTTGTCATGGGACTTACAAATCCATATACGAATCTGTAAATAAAAATTTACCATCTATAGAAGGAATGATGTCCCTCTTATCTGTGTATTTTCAAATGTATCCAGATGCTGTTGTGATTAACAGTATAAATCTATACAATATCTTTACAGAAATACTGATATCTAGTGTTTATACAGCACTTTAAGGATTGCAAACCACTTTACATATATTAATTCATTCTTCACAACAACCTTGTGTGGTGGATGCTATTCCCATTTTATAGATAACAAAACTGAGGCAAGTTAAGTGGTTTACCTGGCATCACACATCTATAAGTGTCTGTGGTAAGGATTGAATTCAGGTTTTCCTTACTCCAGATGCAATATTCTGTTCACTGTACCATCTATTAATTTTTTGTTATCTTTTTTCAATCAAAGTATGTTAATCAACAAACCTTTATGAAGTACCTACTATATGCCCAACAATATGCTAGGGGTTGAGATTAAGGCAATGAGGCAATACCTACCATCAAAGAGCTTATATTCCACTGGGGGAGAAAATATGTGCATAAATAAGTAAGTAAAAAACAGAGGGAGAAGGAATGGACCTGTGGTTTGTTGGTATAAGGAACTCTCAATGAGGAAAGAAATTCTCTCTACCAATGCAGGTTGGCACCTCTGCAACTAATAAGCCTGAGATGCTTAACCTAAAAGGTTAAGTGATGGGTCTAGAGTTACACAGACAGTATGTATCCAAGGCAAGACTTGATCCAAGGCTTCTTAGTTCTGAGGCCAGCTCTCTAGTCAGTACCCCAAAAAGTAATTTTGCAGAGGAAGGAAAGCACTGGCAGCTGAAAGTATCAGAAAAAGTTCCATAAGAGAAGGAAGAACTTGAAATAATGTAATACGAATACTAATAATACAACTTCTTTCACACGGTGCATTCCTGAAATTGTCTGATGTTATAAAGGGATCTTTAAATCAAATATGTATATGTATATGTGTGTGTGTGTGTGTGTGTGTGTGTATATATATGTATATATATATATATATATATATATGGAAACTATTGGATTAGATAGTCTCTAAATTTTCTTGCATCTCTAAACACTATGATTCCAGCCTTGTAACAATATTTGTATTGTTTTTTAAAATTGTATGTGTAACACAGTGGAGCATTTTTTACAAAGAGAAATATTACTTCAAAAGACAATCATAAATATACAAACACTTCTTCCAAGTGGAAGGTATCATACATCTTCCCCCTTATACTACCTCAGTCTTGGTTTAGCTCAGTTCTCTTAAAGCACAGTATCATTCTGAGTCTGCCCTCTCCCCACCCCACCTCACCCTAGGGGCTCAAGTCTCAGGCACCATGGCTTCTCACGGCTCTAATATCGCCTGGCTGACTGCTGCAATCCCAGCTTGAACTCTTGATCCCCTGGGGATCACCTCTGGGACCTGAAACAGAGGACAAATAACACAAAACAGGAAAAAATGTACCTCCCCCCAGGCCCATTTCTTGGAGCTGAGATAAAAGAGAGAAACGAGGGGAAAGTCAGGTTCCTTCCCCCCCTTTGTGGTTCAGTTCATGGCATCCAGGCTGGGCACTGGGTGCTGGGAACAGTAGCTAGGACTATACCAGAAGGATGGCAGAAGAGAGAACAAATGGTTCTTTTAAAGACACAGACAGCCAATCAAGGCATCTACGCCCCCATCCACATGGTAGGAACGCAGTGGGCTCCATGTTAGGCAAACTGTGCATACTCAAAGCCAAATTACATATGTGCATACTACTTGATATTATTTACTATATGAATGTTACTTAACTAATTGATAACATATTTTAGTTCAGTTAGGATCATATTGATTGACTTTCTTCTTTTCAAATATCATTTTCCTAAATATATCAATATATTCCATCTGTTTTCTTTATTCTTCTATCATCCATCTCTTGGTTTCTGGCTGGTGTCTCATCCCCTTCTACATCTCTGCATTGTAGCTAGAAGGACAGAAATAGGATTGATCTCACAGCTGTAAGGCTAAGTAACAGGATTTAAGAAGAGGGCAACGGAAAGGAGAAATGTTGTAGAGTCTTTATAATTCATGACTATACCAAAAACAAAGCTATGAGTCTTTGCCAAACCTCTTATTTGAGACTCAACCGTATACACCAATATCTAGTTTAACATTTAGGATTATCCTCATGCTGTTGCTATGCATTTCCTTAGCTTTCTGTAGAACTAGAATTGTCACAGGTTTGTGATTTGTGTCAAAGATTTTTTTTTTTTACAATTTAGAAATATTTCTAAGGATTGGTAACAAGCTGCCTGGCTGAATCAGTATGCTATGGCAGCCCTGGGGCAGGCCGGGTGCTGACACTCAGCAGCTTCTGAAATCACTGCAGGGTTGGAAAAGGAATGAGATTAACACCCCACTGAAATCAGTGCTCTTGTGGTGACATGCAGTAACCTCTCTTTTGCAGGTTTGCTGGCCACCTCTTTGGGGGAAAAAACATGGTGTACAATATACAGGTTTACATAAATCCATGCTCCCATACCACGTATCAGCGCTTTGAAACATTTCAAGCTACCAAGTCTCATAGAACAAGAAAGATGCTCAGACTTTAGTAGGCTCTCTAGACTACATGGCTGCTTAAATACTACAGGTAGAATCTGGTAAAGTCCCTTTTTTGGCTTGGATTTTGTTGCCACATTAAAAATAGATACCAGAGGCTATAGTCCAGAGCTATGATTTCTTTGTTGTGGGAATCTTCTGGTATGGAAAATTCCTCCTCTAACACAGTTCAGGAACTAAGAGGTTAAATGTCTTTTTTTTTTCTGATAGCACAGTATGCATCAGAGTAGGACCTGAATTCAAGTCTTCTTGACCCTAAGCACTGCCTTCTATCTACCATTCTGGGTTGCCAATCACTTTGCACTTCATATATATTTAATAAAAATTTGTTAAATTGAACTGAATTGAGTTTTAGAGGATGTAATAGTATCTATGGTTCATCTAAATCCTTATAACACTAAGTCTTTTCATAATATAATATGTAATATAAGATAAAATAATATATAGGATAGATAGGATAGGATAATTATAACAAAATATAGAAAAGAATAGAGTAGAAATATTTCTTGAATTAATTTTTCCATAGAAATGCTTTAAACATACTAAATGAGTACCAACATTCTCATTTAATTGACTTTCCATTAAAATATGTGCATCATTAATCTTCATAAGATCCTAATGAGTTGATGCTATTATGCCCATTTTACTGATTGGAAATCTAAGGCATTATGATTTTTTGGACCTATAACAGCACATCAAGGTAAAATGCAAGACCAAATTTTTTAATAGTGATAGATGAATAAAATCTATATTTCAAAGCATTAAAATTGCAATAGCAATTGCCAGGTTATAGGTTTCTGTGCTATTAGCTCACTGATGGCACTGAAGTCAGTCTGTTAAACACTATGGAAGATATATATCAAAGTCAGCAATTAAGAAACTTTATTAAATGATATAAGATTTCTATCACTGTGACCATCAAGGGTGGTTTAATAACACACCTCTTTTGCTTTCCTAAACAGTGTTTATGGCTGTCCTTTGGCTAAAAAAAGAAAAACACAAGATAAGCAACCCCAAGAACCTGCTCCCAAAAGAAAGCCATTTGTAGTTAAAACCGACAACTCCTCAGTAGACGAATGTTATGAAACAGATGGAACTGAGGAAATGGACGAGAAAGAGGAAGAGGAGGAGGAGGAATATTCTGATGACAATGAGGAGCAAGGGGAAGAGGATGAAGATGATGAAGAGATAGATCGAGAGGAAGAGGAGGAGATTGAAGAAGAGGAAGAAGATGATGAAGAAGAAGGAGATGTGGAAGATGAAGAAGAGGAAGATGAGGAGGAGGAGGAAGAAGAGGAGGAAGAAGAAGAGCATGGTAATCATTAACATATTAATAAAGAACTAGATGGTATTCTGGGTTAAGTTTTCATTATGAATTCTCTGGGTTGATCTTCATGAGACAAGTTTCAAGTAATGGAAGTCATGCAGAAAATTCTCTTTCTTACTTACTATAGGATTCACCCTTTGTGAAATCCCCTTGATCTTTATTTTAAAGACTGTGATCTAGATCTCTTTTTAGACTTTAGACTTCTTTCAGGCAAATAACCGTCTAATTGGAAGGTCAAAGGCTACTATAGTTTGCAGATATGTGTATTTCAGCATGTGTTTACAAATATAATGTATTGCACATATATATGTGTATGTATGTATCTGTATATATGTGTGTGTGTGTGTGTACATATATATATATATTAATATACATATAGATGATACACTTTAGATTTTCAGTCCTATAACGTACTAGAGTTTGGTTAAGCTAGAAAATTCACAAGGCAATTTACTTTGTCTTGAGTGACCTGACAAATTTTTGAGAGAGATTATTATGTATAAAAATTATTTTAACTCATCTATTTGTTAAATGGTATTTTGTCTCTCTACATAACTGGAAGTATGTTGTCTGGTAAAATTTGGGTTTGGGATATTGGTTGCAGACGCTTCATCATAGTGATTTTATCATAAGCCTAGGATGGAAATGGATATTCATGAAATGACAAAGGAACTGATTAATCCAGAGATATTTTGCCTCAGTATTTTCAGAATATGACTCTGATTTGGTAGGTCTACCTTTTTGTATAGTGTAAACAAATAATGACATTTAGGACATTGGAGTTGGAATGTTTTAGGAACAAGATTTTTCATTCTTTCTCTTAACGAAAACTAAGAAGGGGTTAGGAATTATTGTGCAGAAGGTTTCAGTTTCCTCATCTATAAAATGAGCAGGTTGGACTTGATGTTCTCCAAGGTCTCTTACAATATAGAGCCTATAATCTTAAGAAGGAAGGAAGGAAGGGAGGGAGGAAGGAAGGAAGGAAGGAAGGAAGGAAGGAAGGAAGGAAGGAAGG